TTTTTTTTTTTTTTTTTTTTTTTTTTTGGAGACCGGCCGCACCGCACTCAGCCAGTGAACGCAGCGGCCATCCCTATATAGGATCCGAACCCGTGGTGGGAGCGCCGCTGCGCTCCCAGTGCCACACTCTCCTGAGTGCGCCTCGGGCTCGGCCCTCTTCATAGTTTTTAGAAGAAATTTTTAAATCTTTTGATTAGCACATGAGGCCCTCACGATCTGGCCCCTGCCTTACTCTCCAGCTTCATTTTGCCCACCACGTCACTGAGTTTCAGAGAGTAAGAGAGACAGACCCCTCCCTCCCTCCCATCCCCCATCACAACCATTTCCTCTGCCTATACTGTACCACTTACAGATTTTCTTAAATTATTGCATTGTTTCACATTTCCTAGATTTCACACACTCTACCTTCTGTCTGGGGAATTCTCTGATCCCTGTCCTTGACTGGATATTTCCTTTAAAATCCTGCTCCAACCACCTATTCTAGGAATTTTTATATGAACTGATTTATTCCCTCTGCTTCATGCTCCCAAATCATCCTATAGATATTTTTATCATAGTGATTACCACTTTATACTGTAATCAGCGTATAAATACTCACATGTCTAACCCATGAGGCCATGATGAGTTCCTTGAGGACTAAGACTGTATCTTAGTCACATGTGTCTTCTAGACTCTAACGCAGGGCTTGCCATTTCATGGCTTGGCTTTCCTCTGGGCTGAGTTTCTTCTTAGGTGGGCTTTCTCCACATGGAGGCAATTATAGCTCCAGGCTTACATAATCAATAGCACCCTCACTTGCAGAAGAGGGATTCTTCCTTATTCAGCTTCAAGTTCCCTCCCAGAAAAAAGGATTTTGGTTGATCTTACTTGGGTCACATGCACCAATCACTGTGTCCGTAGGGATGAAATACTCTGGTTGGTCTAGCCCACACTTAGAGGCAGCCCCATCCAAATCATAGGCACTGGGAATGAGGGAGGGATAGTTCTGGAAGGAAAAAGGGAATACTATAACCAGAAAGTCAACTGAGGGAGCAAAAGCAAGTGTCTACAGAGAGACACACACACACACACAAAGTAAAACAAGTATAAAAAATATATACAACCTCTACACACCCAGTAGTGTAGGTAAAATTAGAAATATTTATAGTACCAAACATCGGCAAAGATGTGGCACAACTGGAACTCTTCTACCCTGCTGCAGAGAATGTAACATGGCACAACCACTTTGGAAAATAGCCAGTTTTTAAAAATGTTAATCAGTCCCATATGACCTAATAATTCCACTTTTAGGATTTTACTCAAGAGAAATAGAAACTTATGTCCACACAAAGACTTGTGCATGCATTTCATAGCAGTTTTATTTACATTAGCCAGAAACTGGAAACCATCTAAATGTCCATCAATAGGGGAATGAATAAGGAGAATGTAAAGTAACCACACAATGGATACCATCCCGAAATAAAAAAGGAACAAATTTGTGTAGTAACACAGATGAATCTCAAGGTAATTATGCTGAGTAAAAGAAACCAGTCACATTCTGGGAAATGTGAACTAATCTGTAGTGACAAACAGCAGACCAGTGGTTGCCTAGCGCAGAGGAGAGATGGACCGCAAAAGGGCATGAAGAAACTTTTTCGGGTGAAAGAAAGGTACTGTATCTTGATTGTGGTGGTGGTTTCAAAGGTGTGTACGTTGGTCAAAATTTATTGACGCATACACTTTAAGAGCGTACAGTACATTGTGCATAAATCATATCCCAATAAAACTATATAACAATAAAAAATTATATCCCAATAAAATAAAATGATATCTCAATAAAACTGATTAAATTTAAACACCAGGGCCTGGAACTATATTAATAAAGGAAAATCAACCCTATGCAAGCAAATAAACAAATAATTGTCTAGGTCATACAGGTATGAAATTTGATACTAAGAAAAAAAAAGAAAAGAAAAGGAGAAGCAGCCAATTTCATAGTTATTATGAGAGAGGAAGAACTGCTAATTCCTGAAGGAATTGTGTTTGGGTTCTGGCCTGCCTGAGCTGGGCTGTCAGGACCCAATTTATCAGGGGTTCCCTGGACAAGTGAGACACCCAGAACACACCCAGAACGTGCTTCAACGAACACTCCCAGAATCAGTACCGTGTTTGTGTTTGTATCTTCTAAAGTGCATCAGTTCATTTTTGTCTCTACAGGACCCAGTGAAGTTTTGTTATTGTTGTTTGACAAATAAATGAATAAAATTTGTATAAATTTAGCAATCCTCAAAGTTCCAAAACTCTATATGATCGTTTTTTAAATGTGTAAAAATGGATTTAGCAGTAGTTAAATTATAGCAATTTTGAAAATAAATTAGCTATGATGAATATCCTTTCAATAATGTATTAATGTCCAGCAGTACTACTATATTGCATCAGTTTATATGATATCCATTAAAGAGAAAAGTGAAAAAAAGTCATCTGAGTTGCCTGTCCCTTCTCATTGGCACCATTTTCATACACCTTCTGCATTTCTGGCTCTGGCCTTTGTACTCCACCTGCTAGAAGTCTGGCTTCCCTCAAGCTCTCCAACACACATGCAGCCCTCCTGCAATCCCACAGTCCCCCAATTCCTGTCCCATGACTGCAGGGGCCCAGTCATGGGCACACCACCAGGGTGTGGAGCTATGTGCATGTGTCTCCATCTCCTGGCAGTGTGGATGGGGAAGGAAAGAGCTGGAGGCTCATTTCCTGGCTCCTTAACCTACTTTTCCTTTAAACTTTACTTTTCTTTTACTTTGTAATTAGGCTTGATAGCCCTATTACTATTCAATTTCAAGTGCATTAGGGTTTAAGTGAGTTTTTAATGAGCAGGTATGGGTACACTATCATTTTATGGTGATACATGCTCTGAGTTTTAATCCACTGATATAGAAATATGCTTTTGGAATATAATGTATTATTCAGCTGGGGTCTGGCCTATATGTAATATTGCAGCAAACATTCCCGTAACTGAATGCTTGACCTGACCCAACAAGGGAACTCAACCAGTGGACATATCCACTATCTAAATATTCTTACATAAAGAATAACATTTTTAAAGACACAAATGTTACGTACCAGTTTTGGGCTTTGGAAGTTGCAGTTTCTTTTGAGATTAAAAACAAAGTCTGTGTTGGGGTGGGGGGTGGTGTTTCACTGTGTCTCTGTCTGCAACTCTTGTGTAATATCCAATATGCATTCAATAAATATTTGAGACCTACTATGTGCTTTGGCAATAGAGCAATGAATAAAACATTTCTGCTTCATGGCTCTTCCAGTCTGCATCTGATTCTTTGGGGTAGGTATGGTCTTCATCACATTGTCTTAGTCACAGTATCCCCAGGGACACCCAATCAAGGGGTATACATTTCTACTTATTCCAACCATCATCACCCATTTGCAAAATCATGTTGCTACTTAGCATGCAGACATTTATTTTGTCTAAATGAGAAGGTAGATTGCACTGATCAACTGTCCCTCTGTCTTTCCAGCTGCAGCAGTTTTTCAGTAACATGTTGGAGGAGCACCAGAGGATCACAGTTCATGCCAAATTACAGACAATAAAGAATGAAAATCTGAAAAACAAAAAGCTAAGTGCCAAGATAGCTGAGTGGCTACGGAAAAACACGTAGCTTGTGGCTACTTTCAGCATGCCTCTTGCATATTATAGTGTAGTTTGCTTGCAGTTTTTTCTTCCAATTCTTTGTGAGTCTGGAAAACCACAAGTTTTGTTATTTGTATTTTAGTCACATTTACTACTCAGAATCCTGTTCTTCCCATTTTGTCACATTTGGCCCTGAGGGCCAGTAATTGCTGAGGATTTTGCCAACACTGCTGTATTTCTGGAGATTTCATTTCACGTTGGGCTGCAAACCCACAGAATTTATTTCAAATGCCTTGTAAAAACAAATATACCTAGAAAGTCTTGTTCATTCTGTTGTGAAGGCCAGTGGAATATTAAATCATTGGTATTAATGAAGAGCACATTGTTTTCTGAGGGAAACACAGATTTGCAATACTCTAGGGTTCATTTATTTTAATACTGAAAAGAGTAATGAGAAAATAACATGACAGTATAAAAGCAATAGAAACTCCCCAAAATAATATTCACCAGAAGGCAGAAAAGCCAAAGAAAAGCAAGATTTAAAAAGAAAGAGCAGACAATTTAATGATCCCTTACAGCAAGAAATATGTTTTCTCCTGCCCATTTCTTTCTTCCACAGTATCTACTGCAGTAAACCACATGTTGTTGGCTGCTGAAATTCGTGGTGTCACAAAAGACAAATGATTGTAAGATCCATGAAGTGGATCTTGTTGTGGAGGCTAAAATGGAGATGAAGACTCTGCCCTGAAGCTCTTGATGGTGTATTCTCCTGTGGGGTGAATACTCTTTCAGCCAAAGCCTGTGAGCAAAAGTAATGATGTCAAACAACAGTAGCAATTATGGGCTAATCTTCAGAGCAAAAGGAAAAATTCAAAAGGAGACAAAAAAAAGTAAAAGGCTAACTGGAGCATAATCCTTACAGTTTAGCAGGGGATTAAGTTTGAAACATGGTTTCATTTGGTCAAATTAAACCTATTTGTAATGTGACCAACTTACTTTAAACATATTCATCAGTCACAATGTATGGAATTACCTTAGTTTTGTTACAACTGATTAAAACAGGGCAACTAAGGCAAATCATTCATTCCTTCTCTAGGCTTTGTGTAGATATTTAATCCCTTTTTTTTTATGTTTTACACTTTGTTATTGTAGAATGGAGGAAAAACTACAGATCTCCTATCTACCTCAAAGTGATATTGTAAAGCTTAGGGAATGTGATGTCAACTAAAAGTCTTTAAAGATGTTATATAAATTAAAGGCAATGTAATCTAAGGCTTTTTTCCTATTTCATGTATAAATTAAGAGCCACAAGTTAAAATGCAATACAAAAGTTTGCTTTTGTATTCTCTTCACAAAGAGGATGCTTCCTGAGTGTCAGTGGGAGGCTAGGGGACTTCACCATAACCAAAGCTCAGTCTACTCAGGCCCAAAGATGGGTTACCGGTCAAAGAATATTTTTCCTTAGATTTAGAAATGTAAGTTTTAAGCAATAAAATATCTCCATGCCTTCAAATTGTTGTGTGTGAGATATTTTCCTGTGTTTTCTTAAACATTTGTTCTATCTTTCTAGTATTTCTCCGATAATCAACCTCATCTTTCAAAAACCTTGTCTTCGCACATCCTCTCAACTGCTTTTCTCTTCTTCCTCTTCTTCTCTGTTTTAGTTTGTTTTGTGCTGCTGTAAAGAATACCTGAGATGGTAATTTATAAAGAACAGAGATTTATTTCTTACAGCTCTGGAAGCTGGGAAGTCTGAGGTCAAGGGGCTGCATCTGGCCAGGGCCATTCCATGGTGGAAGACAAGAGGGTGAGAGAGCAAACATGCAGGAGAAGGAAGGAACTGAACTCATCCTTTCTTATCAGGTACCCACTCCTGAGATAATTAACCCACTTCTACATTAATCAATTCATGAGGGCAGAATTCTTATGACCTAATCATCTCTTAAAGGTCCACATCTCAACACTGTTGCATTGAGGATTAAATTTCCAACACATGAACTTCAGGGGACACATTAAAACCCTAGCACTCTCCTCCATTTCTGCACCCCTTCTTTCCCCCTCAGGCTCCCCTGTCTTCCTTTTCCCCATTTCAGTAATCTCTGTCTTCCTTCTGCCTGGTTGTCCTTATCCTCTCTCACTGGTTTTCCTACCCTCTGTACTCTCAGTCCACCACGTGCCCTTTGAGGCTGACACTCAGGACCCAAGAAGATTCTGTGTGATGCCAAGCACTCCTGATCTTGCCAAAAAAGCACATAGGCAGGTCTGTCTGGATCAATTGTTGAAAATTAAAGTTAATTAAAATTAAATTCCCATTTCATCTTAGTTTTCTGTAGTAATTAAACAGTGCTGGGGCCGAGCCTGTGGCGCACTCGGGAGAGTGCGGTGCTGGGAGCGAACAGCGCTCCCGCCGTGGGATTGGATCCTATATAGGGATGACCGGTGTGCTCACAGCGCTCACTGGCTGAGCGCGGTGTGGCCAGTCTCAAAAAGGGCAAAAACAAAAACAAAAACAGTGCTGGAAGTGTTTCTCCAAAATCAAATGCCCAAATATTTGGTTAATAGTCGTTCCTCTAAATATGAAAAAGAATTTTGAATAATGTACATTTTTTCTTACTTGGATGAAACAAGTTACTCCAGATAAGCACTACATTTTTTTTTTTTTATTTCTGACCTTCTACTTAGTTCAAAAACAAGTAATTGTTGATTAATTACCGGGATGGCAATAAGGCGGTAACAAGTCAGGGAGTGATACTGAGGAGGATTTGTCCAAATAGCATAAATACTTCATTAACCAATAAAACCAGCATATCTAGAAGCACCTGGACTATAAAAATTTCTTCTGCCCAACCGGCTTACTTTATATTTTTCCTCCTAATAACAGTTAACAGATGTACAATGTATCCATGATTATTTTTTTCAGTTTGGTAATTAGAAATTAAAAAATTTTTTTTTAACCTTCTTGTGCTTCTTTCCTGCTCAAAACCATTCAGTGACTTTCCATTGTTGACTTTAAATGAAAGAATAAACACCTTAGTCTGATGTTCAAAGTCCTTTGTGACTTAGATTTCTGAGGCCAATCTGTACAGCAATTTATTCTGAGATATGAATGAAGAAGCAAATTGAGATGAGATTTAAAAGAGAGCTCTTCTTGGTTACTCTTCTTGTTTGACCCACTTTTTGCTCTAATAAAGCTATTTTTCTCTCACCCAAACTCTAGCGGGATTAATATGCACAAAGCACAGATTAAGGGGTGGTTACAAGTAAATATAACTGCCTCCCCACACAAAGAATTATGTAGCATAATCAGCAGCACTTGAAACATTCTATTGCCTCTAGCTTGCTCTTCTCTCCAATTTAACAAGATTTGGCAAAGGTAATCTTTAGAACACACAGATTTAGGACTTATTTGGACTCTTTCTCTTCCTTTCCCTTCATAAACAAGTCAGTCCTAAAGGTGAAACAGAACAAAGTAGGCGTCTGCACCAGTGGGAGCTGAGGGGGCACCATGGTGGTCCGTGCCCCAAAGTGGGCTGTAAGAGCTTGAGTAGAGGGAGCTCACACAGAGGGGAGGAGATCACACAGGGTGTAGAGTCCAAGCAGGGTGAATAGGGCGACCACATGGGGGAAAGGGGTTATGGCATGAGGAGTCACAGCCAAACAAGGTAGGGAGGACATCTACGTAGAAGGCAGCTTAGCATGGGTGCCCAAACAGGGGAGAGGGACATCTGGGGGGGACCCAGAATGAAGAGTTCAAGTGCTAGTGGAGTAAGGAGGATGTCCTAATTGGTGGCCTGATGTGAGGTGTCAGAGCTTGAGGAGAGTACGGGAGAGGCAGTGGTGGGAGCTTGGTTGCCACGGGGTACGGATCAAACAAGAACACATCTAAGTGACAATGGAATCTAGGTTTCTCACTATTGTAGAAGGGAGTTACAGATATTCAAAAGGAGGAAACTAGAATGAACTCCATTTTTAGATTGGAATTGTAGGTATTGGTATGGACTCGTGGTTTTACGTATATAGACAGATTTATAAATACAAGAAAAGTATGTAATAAATGTCTGTAAATGTGTGTAAAGATATATTTTGTTCTTTATCTCTCTCTATATAGACCGATATTGATATAACATAGACCCTAGCTTTTCCACTGAGAGGACTTGGGAACAGCAACACCCTTGTTAAGGACTGAATGTGTCCCCTGCAAATTCATATGTTGAAGTTCTAACCCCCAAGGTGATGGTAGTTGAAGGTGGGGACTGTGGGAGGTAATTAGATGAGGTCGTGAGGGTGGAGCCTCATAATGTGATTAGTGCCTTTACAAGAAGAGGAAGAGGCGCCAGAGCATTCTTTCTCTCTTCACATGCCTGTACCAAGGAAAAGCTGTGAGCACACAGTCAGAAGGTGGCTATCTACAAGCCAGGAAGAGACCTCTCCCCAGGAACCAAATCTGCCAGCACCTTGATATCGAACTTCCTGTGAGAAATAAATGTCTGTTGCTTAAGCCTCCCAGAGTTATAGCAGCTCGAGCTAAGACAACCCTAATAACAATGAGCACAGCTAGTGCCCAGATTGTGGCTTCTAAATGCCATTCCCCACTAAAAGAACCAGGGCTCACCGGAGAAATGACTAATTTCAGGGCTGGGGCAGGAAATGGAAAATTAGAAATGGTACATCTTTTTGTACCCAAAAGCAAGGAAATAAAGAAAGATGGGAACATGTCAAAAGAGCACAAAGCCAGCTTGAAGAGGCAACTTTGGCCAAATCTGAGAAATTTGAGTATTATAATAATAAAGACAGTACAGGAATAAAACAGGAAATCATAAATCTACACTGATATATCAAAATAATTAATAAAATTTGGGGGAGAAAAAGGATATTTACATAACTCCAAAGTACTTTTCCACAAAAATAATGATTAGCTATGAAGGGAAATGAGTGATTTACAGTGGAAAAGCCTGGCAGATATCACCTAGGTCAAGTGATCAATTTGAACATTATCACAGTAGGATAAATAAAATTTTGTTCCATTTAATAAGATGACATGACAAAAATGCAGCATCACTTTTGTTACATTCCTAACAAATCTGCATAATGTGAATCTAATAATGAGGAAACATTAAACTGAGGGACAAGACACAGAATAACCTTCAAAAGTGTCAAGGTCATGAAGGTCAAGAAAAGAGGAAGGTCTGTTCTAGACTAGAGGAAATTAAAGACAGATGACAATAAGATGTAGAGTGATTCTGAACCAGATCCTTTTGCTATAAGGGACAGTATTTAGATAATTGGAAAAACTTGAATGGAGTCTGAGGATTAGATACTAGAAATGTATCATTGTTAATATCCTGACTTTGATTGTCGTGCTGTATTTATGTAGAAAATGTCCTTGGTTGTAAAACATACATATCAAGGAGTGAATGGGGCAACAGGGGGGCAACTAACTTACTAATTCAGGAAAAAAAAAATATGTCAATTCCAACTTTGGGATAATTTTGTGATTAAATAAACTTAAAAATAAATAAAAGTTATTATTAGAACTGCAATGCACTTTTATTTTGTATCACTTTTTTCTTTCAAACTTGATAATGACACAGCCACAGTCCTGATCCTGAAGTTACCTATTAAACATTTTAATAAGCCCAAAGTGGAAATACAAGTTGTCTCAAAAGACTTAATTTCTGGTTTCAGTTAACATTTTCCATCTTCAATCAGAGCTACTAAAAACTTAAAATTAAAAAAATTATTATTCAAAATTAACAAAGCTGTATAAATGTAAAATAAATGTAAATCATTACATTTTCAAATAAAGCTTATTTAAAACTTGTGTAAGTTTGTAACATTTATACTTCTGAAGTTATTAAAACTTAAAATTTCACTGAGTTTTTTGGGAAAACCTTTATATATACATGGATAAATGCTGTAACCTTGAAGTTACTATGGCAACAATTTCATTTACTTCATGCTACAGTAATGTCTTAATACTATATTGCCATTTCATATAGCCAGTGATAAATGATATATAAGTCCAGAAGCTGTGTAGTACCATAGTCCCTCCTTATTTGTGGATTCAGTTTCTCAAGGTCAACCATTGTCTGAAAATATTGCATCACTACTCTTGTGCTTTGGGGCCCTTGTTAAGTAAAATAGGGGTTGGTTACTTGAAACAAGCACTGTAATACAGTGACAGTTGATCTGATAACTGAGGTGGCTACCAAGTGACTAATGGCAATCTGGATGGACCAAGCAGGATAGTGTGAGATTTCATCACAATACTCAGAACAGCATGCAATTTAAAACTTATGAATTGTTTATTTCTGGAATTTTCCACGTAGGTCACAATGTCTACATCATTCAGCCCACTTCTCATCATGTAGGCATTTTATCATCTCACATCATCACAAGAAGAAGGGTTGAGTACAGTACAATAAGATTTTTTTTTTTTTTTGACCGGTAAGGGAATCGCAACCCTTGGCACAGTGTGGTCTACACCACACTCAGCCAGTGAGCGCACCGGCC